GGTGGCGCGGGCGGGTGCGGTGGTTGAGCTTGACCAGCCCAGGGGTGGGATGGTCGAGGGGCACGTGGAGAGGGGAGCGTGCGCGTGTGCGTGTGTGTGTGATTGTGTGGGTGTGTGGGTGCGTGTGTGTGTGCGTGTGTGCGTGTGTGGGTGCACGCGTCTCCGCGAGCGCGCGGCGTGAACAAGCACAAAAAAGGCCATTGGAGAATGACGGTGGGGGATCTGTGGGAAACGAAGCGAGCACCGCACGGCAGTATGTCGAGGTGGTGGAAAGACATTATCGGACAAGGGGAAAAAATATATACTAGTAAGGCCCCCTCTTCGGAAGTGGACCGAGAGCGAGTCTTCCCGTCTTCAGTTAATAGCAGTGTGGTAAATTTGAAATGTGTGGTGGCACGAGGAACGTACTGAGATGTCTGGGGAGCAGCGGGAGACCATCACAGAACACTTCGCTTCGTTCAGCAGTGACACAGAGACAGAGAGGAAAACAAAAATATTCCGACGGCCCTCTTTTCGCGCGGTGCGCGTCAGCAGGACCTGAGGCGTGTTAACGTCATCGCTGCTGGCGGAATCTGCTATCCAGGCCATGGCCTTCTCGGGCGCCCCCGGGGCGCTCCGGTTCGTATCATCGCACGCACAGCAAGGCAGGCGCCATCCCCGCAGATCTGATCCCGATGCTAATCCGGTGATGTTAGGCGATCATATCTTGTGCTACACTTTTGTCGCGCGCCCGTGCGCCCGTGCGGTGTGCCGCGTGACTTGCGGCCGGGACTGCCCTCCTCTACTCTATTGCGGTCGCTTTACGCGAAATAAATACTGGTAGCAGTGCGTTTCGCTGAAAGGGGTGCGAGTATAGAACAACGGCACATCTGTAGGGTAAAATCGGGTGTCCGGTTCGCCTAAAAGTGCCTGCTGCTCTCATGCTGTCCGACAACCCTACCCCCTACAATTTACCAAAAACAACAACATTGTCATGCAAATGAGAATATCATAGCACTGAATGATTTCACAACTATGTCGTCACTTGTAAATGGGACAGACAAACTTTTGATATGACTATATAGTTGTTATTATCACTATTCGCCTAGATGTTTATTTATTTTTACTGTGCACGAATGACGTGACGCGGCGACGGGGCCCCCGCGGGCCCCTGGTGCGCCCTGGTGCCAGCAGCGCATCGGCCTTCCGGAGGGAGGGGGTGGAGGGGATACGGGCGGCAGACGCGACGTGTCGCGCCCCGCTCCACTCGCGTCATTAATTTGGCGGGCGCCAATGTGACGCCCCGCCCGGCTAATCCTCGCTGACTCGCCATATCCCGTTCTGACCACACGACGACGGCAACACACGATATCAATATCCGATAAGAATTCATTCAGTTTACAACTTGTGATACACTCAAAATGTTAGGGGTGAACTGTGATTGTGAAAAGGGGACGTTTGTGTGCACATCTCGGTGAGAAGCCTTCGACGTAGACGTCAGTTAGACGTTAATTTAGATGCTTATGGTCAGAAAATCGGCGTCGTTTCGACTTCAAACCGACGTTTAATCCAATCGTTTCGCACTGGGATCTAGATCAGATGCAACTTTCGAGTGAAAAACCCCCATCGTTTCACCAAAGCGGTCCTGGGGCGAAGTGGTTTCGTTAGGCCAGTGGCTTGTAAATCAGAGATCGCAGGTTCGGATACTCGGGGCATATTGTTCGTTTTTCGTTACTTCCCGACTAAGTAGACTCGAGCTGGCTCGGGCGGCTGGCAGTGCTCAGTTACGAGAAGGGAATTATCCATTCATTTCGAGAGGTTGTCAATAACAAGAAGCAAAATACACAGTTGCGGCCAGAGATAGGAGGCGGGTGCGGGAGGGGAAAGAATCGCCCGGGGCCAGCTGATCATTACCGAGTGCAAGTGTCTATATGGCTGTGCTGCGAGGAGGGGGGAAGTGAACCATCAAAGACAATTGATGCCTCAGTGGTTATTGAACTTTTCCTACACAATATTAATGGATCTGTGAGTAAACAGTATGGGTCACACTGTTGAGTTTCTGCAAAAGCAGTGCTTTGCAAATTGCAAAGGATTTTAATCATTTGTTACTACAAAGCATTTACTCTGCAATTACAAAGCAATGCTTTGCAGCATGTAACCGCTAGCTGGCAATGCTTTGCAATTGCAATTTAGATGCATCACATCGCTTTGTAACTGCAAAGTTTAAATGCTTTATAGTTACAAAGGATCAAAATTCTCTGCAATTTGCAAAGCAATGCTTTGCAGAAATTTAACAATGTGACCCACACTGTTTACTCACAGATCCATTAAATCCACAAAATTGCTTTGCAGGAGTTCAACAGTGCACTGTGATTCACCTGAACCAATGTTTTATGATGTTATGTCCTGATGTTTAGCTTCCTTTTGGGAAATCTAGATTTTAAAAAAAGAAGGAAACACATAACGGTAAGAACAACACTATTACGAGAGGAAATACATGTTTAATTCTGCATGGACGGATTGGTTGATTAATACAGTGGAATGTAAAACTAAAGTGTTAAGCATTGCTTTCAGCCTTATCATACCACATTATAACAAGAGGATAACAAGTACCCAGGAGTTTTACACTTACTTCCAATAATGGATAAGACAGAGTCAAATGTTGTAGAATAAACATTGATCAAGATGTAAGAAAATCTCAGACTTAAATGGAAACAAATCAGTTCCATGAAATACTCAGGTTTCAGAGTTCTAGTTGACTCATATTGGCTGATAAGAAAAATAACACTAATTTGCAAAATAATATCAACTATGCTTTTAAAAATATGTACGTAGATCTGAGTCAAAAGTTGTAGAAAAACTTGTACAAGATTTTTAAAATCTCAGACTTAAATGAGAGGAAAAAAACATGAAAAGCTTTTCACTCATCATAGTCTAATAAAAAAATAACACTAATTTACAAAATAATATCAAAAATGCTTTTAAAAATATGTTGATAGATCTATGGTAAGGCACTCATTGTCTAATAGTTTCATACCCAATAAAAATTGATTCAAAAACTTGCTCATTAATTAAAAGTTAATGTTCCAGTGGAATGAACTGTGTAACTTTGGACGGAAACAAAGGTAAACAACATGCCTGGCAATCTTTCCCAATCTCATAATTATGAGATCAACAAAACACCTCAATACATGTTACATATTATGTTTTTCATACACAATGATTCACCTTCCTGACTCTAATTCTACTGAATGATAGAACAGGATGATTAAAAGTTTCAGCTGTAACATAATTGACTTAAAAATATTATCAGAAAGTGCAAAAAGACACATCATGGACACAGGACACAAGACCCACATTGCGGCAACTCCTTTTAAGGCACAGGATGCTTACAGCTACTAATTGACAACAATCTGAGACTGGATCATTCAAGTAGTTCCAGAATAATTTGTAGGTACACAGGTTCAAATTTCAGTAAGTAGCAGTGCAATAAAATACTATAAAATTAACTTATACATGACATGTGAAAGATCGTCAGATACAATAAAACAGAAAGAATGAATCATTTCATGAAAGTCTTAAGAATTTACTATGGCTTTACAAAAAAGATAAACAGCTTAAGCATAGAGATACTGTTAATACTAAAATACTGAAATATATTGAAACAGCATCTGACTTTAAGTACCCAGATCCAAAGTGGAATACCTGCACATTGGCTTCATTCTTGTGCCATGGATTTTCACCATCATCAAAGTACATGGGGCACTGATCGCCTAAAAGAGAACAACATAATTATAGAATGTCATCAGATATAAAAGAATAACAGAAAAAAATTGCATATATAAAAGTTGTACTTACGTTCTCTTTCATACTCCACCATGTCTAAAGCAACAGTGGCACCTTCCGTATAGTTCCAGCTAGTGACATCTTGCTTCAGATCACAGAACGCACCAATTGCTTGGGACATAAGTATACGGTTCAGATCAGCACGTTGATAAACCTGCAGAAATCAAATTCATCAGATCAATCTAGGCACAAAAACTTTCAACCGTGAACATGGATGAAAACTTTGACTAATACTGACCCAACATCTATATTTGCTGAAGGGATCAAGTTCATCATATGTAATCAAATATGATTTCAGATTTTCTTTCCAATACGCAATACACTTCATTTTGTAATCAGGGTCACCTGAAATCGAAGGTGACTTAAAACTTGATACCCACTGCACTTTAAATTTAAAAGTTCTAAACACAAAAATTGTTTGAATGCCTCACTACCAATACATACTGTAAATATCCTTTGGCTGTCCTCGATGGTCAACAGAAAGGCAATATGTCTCATCAATCAGCATTTCTTTTTGATCAGTATCACACACTGACAAATCAGAGATGTTCTGTTTGCAGTATAGATTCGGTCGAGGGGATAAAGTTACTCCACCGAGAATACGAGTTTCAAATGGTTGATCACCTCGTTGAGTGAAATTAAACTTTCCCGCAACCGGGCAACGTACAGGATGAGGGTTTTTGGCTGCAGATAAAACAAAATTATACCATAACATCAGGAATGGGACCAAAATAGGTAATGGATACTAAAACTTGTTAACACATACCCAAGAATAAATCGTATTTCCAAGCTACATTGTTCTTGAATTGTACCCATGAGCATACAGTATGAAAATCATCTTTTATCACAGCAATTCCTTTTCTGTACCGAATTACATTATGATGCTGAGGTACAAAATCAAAGCAAATATAATCTTTTTGACAGCCGTCAACTGTAAGTCGAGCCATCATGTAACGAGAATCTCTTGTTTCACGACAAACATAAACACTGCGCCTATAACGGCCTTCATCAGGATGATACGTTTCAATTATATGGGTGTCATTAATAAAAACATCCGCATCAATGTTAGCTGTGTTAATCCAATCCCCAGAAAAGTTTTGGGGTAACCTACACCCAGGTTCCACAACTTCTGCTTTCACTGAAGAATAAAAATACAATGTAATTAAAATCTAAAAAATCTACTTTAAAGGATAATTTGCTATCTCATCACCTAATAACAATTCTACAAACCTGGGGTGATCCTCATTCTCTCTGGACTCTTTTCAACTGTCTTTAAAGTGTTACACTCTGCAGTTATGGAAACACCAATGTATAAATCATCATCTCTGTTCTTCAAAAAGCATCGGTATTTTTCATCCTTTCGTGATTCCTTAGTGTTGACAACAGCAAAAAAGTGATTCTTGTCCACAAACCAATCCCCCAAACAACTGTACTCCACAACTAGGACAAAACATTAACACTGGTTGGAAAAGAGCAAAGATGACACTGATTTTGTAATAATGATAAGAAGAAGAATACCATACCTCCATCAAAAGTACCAGTCATTCCAGGACAACTTTTGTATGTTATATTGAACTTCTGATTCGTGATTAAAAACTGTGTACCTGCAGTTTGACAAGACCGAATTTGAGCTCCAGGATTGTTACATTCACCAGTGAACCTAAAACGATTCTGTGAACAAAACGGAAAAGAAAATGAATTGGACGTGACTTTAAAGGGGACAACAAATCTAATCTATATCTCCTGAGCATACCTGGTATGCAAACTGCCAAACCCCCTCTAAACTTGATCGGCAATTCACAGGTATTGGGTTCTCTGAGAAAAGAGTTATGAGCTGCTGTTCTTCATTAAGTCTGCTGCAAACTCTTTGCAATGTTGGAATTGTATCGGGCGGCAGATTCACACAACCTGTTTCCATCTTATCCATCACATTCACTGTCCTCACAATCAACTTGACACAGTGAAAACAGGAGTCTTTTTGGAAAAGAAAAGTATAGTTGACATGGTAATCCTCATGAAAGTCGAGGCAATGACCCTTGTGAGTCATAGAGTCTGCATTAATTTCTGTGAGGACAGGTTGGTTTTCCCAAGAAAACCAGGATCCTCTAATGATGAGAGGAATGCTGCATCCACCTTCAGCTGAAAATAAGAGCAAATCATTTAAGACTCAAATCTAGGAAACTAGGATGTAAAAACAATGGAAATATAAAGCAGCAAAGGGGAAAAGGATAGCGTTTCGCTGGAATTAATTGATTAAATTTGTTCACAAGTTAGCAGAGGTTAAGAAGATTCTTACATTCGAAAATGAAGTAAAATTAAAAAATATGAGCTACTTACTTGATTCAATAGTCAGAAAAGTAAAAAGTACAGCAATAACTGCAAATCGTATGAGTCTTCGTTCCCTCATTTTTGTTGTCGACAATATCACAACCAGTCACAAATTCAAAGGGCAACACCCCAAGTTGCCATTCCTTACCCACACCCACAACAAAAATAAATGCAATATTATGTTGAGTTTGTTTTGTTCTCTCACGGGTACCACTCGACAGCAACAGGTGAATGGCTTTAATTGAATTTAAAATGATTGAAAAGAAATAATAAAATATCAAAAACCTTTTTTTTTTGAAATTACACGTACAATGAAAATAAATAAACTGTGATAGCAGATATTTTTTTTAAATATCTTTTACTCATTAAAAGGTAATGTATTGCTGCAGGTTACCCACACTTTCGTTACCACCATAGCCAACTGTGCGTATGTAGGATGTGAAATAAACTTCACTTTTTCAGCAGATCGTAGTCGCAGTACTTGATACATGTACCGTTTCTTTAAGTTTCAACAATTTCTTAAAGCTTTGGTTTCTTCCTTGAAGTTAGGTGGTCTGTTATATCAGTAACAAGTGATGTAGGAAGTTTTGACTTTTTGGCTGCAGGTCTGGTTCCTACTGACACTAGTGACGGTTTTTCTCTCAACGAGCGAACGAGCACGAGCAGATCAAAGTAAATCTAACTCAAACAAACTTAAATTTGGTTGCTCACTCCCGTGAACTACAGGCACGACTTGTGACTTGTCGAGTTCTGTCACATCTGAGTCTTCTGGACAGCTAGTGCTTTTGCTTTCTTCCTGACTGCGTTTATCTGCTTAGAACAGGTTAATGTTCTCCAGTGTTTCTTTAACTTTTTAAGTTCCATTTTACTGTATTTTAATTTTTCTGGGTGCTTTACAAGTCCTTCTGGACTGATTTTCGTGCGGTTCACTGAAGTTTCCATTTTGCAGGTAAAATGGAGCCAATGGCATTGGGATCACCAGTAGGTAGCCCTGCTAACATGAGTTCCACACAACAGTTCTTGCCACAATTTTTGTTAGGTGAGAATGACTTTAATCAATCACTGAACCAATCACTTAACCAATCTCATCCTGGGCCAAGTACTGCACGGCAACTTGTGATGAGCCCAACCAGTGCAGGAAGACATGTTACATTCTCTCCTCCGTCAATTGGGGGTTTTGGACCTGCGCTTAGCTCAGCAGACTCTCGCATGAACAGGTAAGGTACTTGACTCCTTCATTTCTGTTCAGATTTGAGAAATTCCTAATTTGTTATACAACACTGCTGTTTTTAATTCACAGAGCACAAGCACCAGCTGGTCTAATTGGTCAGAGTGAAAAGGGCTCTGGCCCTCCAACTACAGGCTTGTTTGACACACTCCACCCATCCTCAGAGCAGTTACAATACCTGTCTCCAAGCAAACCTAATGACAACTCAATGTACCAATCGTAAGCATTTTTGTTTTCATTGTTTATTCTCTTGAGAGACTCATCCCTTACTGAACGTCATCTTCTTAGGAACCTCAATGCTTCACTTTTAGCAACGTCACCTCCACCAGCAACACCTGGAAGCCAAGCTCATCATATGAACCAAGAGCCCCTTTCAAGTAACTGGGTCACTGTGTTTGGTTTCCCTACCTCTGCAACCTCTTCGATATTGGCTCAGTTTGCCAGATATGGAAATATTGTGGACAAACAGCTACCTGTTCAAGGAAATTGGATGCATTTACTGTATCAAACAAGAGTTGAGGTCCGACGAGCTCTTGGTAATAATGGCAAGGTCTTTGGTGGGAATACCATGGTAGGAGTTATGCCCTGCACAGATCCTGTAAGTCTTTTTTTTTTCTTAACTTTTTGTAGTTTACTTTTTACTTTCTTTACATTGATGGTTTATTCTGTCTTTAGTCCATTGTTGAGATCTCAAAAGAAAATTTGAGGGATCCTAATATCTCAAGACTGAGCATGTCTACCACTACTGGTAACATGTCATTTGGAACACCAACAATGGGGCCCCCAGGGTCTGGAATTTCAAGCCCATTTGGAACACCCCGCAGTGCAAGGCCACTTCAAAGGGCTTTTTCAAGTACTCATGTTGGTGATGTGAGTATTGGATTGAACAGGTTCATGCAGTACCCTAATTTTCACTGTCTGCTATTTTTAATTAACTTTTATTTTATCTTGTTTCAATTTATCAAGGTTGTCTCACCCCAGCATACACCACAACGAACCACAAGTCTTGTGTCGAGAGCTATGGACTATGTTTTTAATTGGTAGATTATATGTTTTCTACTGTGTTTTTCAATTATGTCATGATTTCTTATGTAATTTTCTAAATGAGTTGACGAGAGGTGATGTACCTTAAAATGAAAGGCAGATTTGCAGTTCTGCAGTGTATGTGATTGTAGGATGTAATAATTTTGTACAGCATATTTGTTAATTTGTGTGAGTTGAGCTGTGTATGTTTTAATATCCTTTCATATGTGTTACACTCTTTTAATGGAAAAGTCATCTTTGTTCAGTTTCATTTCTTACGAATTCAGTTCTGTACAATCTTTGTACCTGTTACCAGTGAATAACTGTGAAATGATTGAATGATTGCTACCAGTATACATACAATTAATTGTCTTTCCTTTCAACATTCAACAGAAGGAATGACATTTGGCACCCCACCTCCGTCTCCGACAGTATGATAGCATTATTAATTTCTTCTGGCACCAATGAAATTAATTTTCATCTTCAATATTGTGGTTAAAAGGAATATATAAACAATATCAAGATGAGTTGAATTGTTTATTATACAAAATATTCACATAATTAAGGGCTTGAAAATATTTGTTGATGTATGCAATCATAAAGGGCATCCTACTGTTTCTGATTAAGGAGACTTGCTGTAGTTACATCAAAATTTCCTTGATAGATATACATCTAAAATACTGATGGCATCACTATTTTAAAATCTAATAAATTTTAACTCTTAACTAATTTTGATGCAACTTGCCAACAGGTTTGCAAACACTTCTGTTTAAGGACTGTTATACAATTTCACAGTAACAGTTCTTCAGAAAATAATTTCTTTACTTTTTTGTTTTTAAATAAAGTCTCTTTTGGCATGGAATGTCAAGCAGCAAACACTTACAGTAATCACAAATTTCGTTTACATGAATTGTTAAGTTATACTTTTATAATATTACAATATCTAACAAATCCGTTAATACCAGCAACATCTGAAAGAGGCAAACCGAGAAAATTTTAGGAATTAGAAGTGACGCAGAATTATTTCATTTCCTATGCTTTATCACGGGAGTGTGACCACATAGTGGTCATACCGCACTCTAAGTGATGGTTCATGAATTGTTAATGCGAAAATAAAGAGTTGCAATTTTGTATCTTGATTCTGCCATTAAATACCATTTTCAGTGATATGTCAATGGCAGTCATAAAGCAAATGGTTTGGGTTCAAAACAATAAATAGATTCCTGCTGCGCTGTAAAATCCTTCTTTAAGGATTAATGAAATACTGCATTACATTGCAAAACCAATTATTGATGGTAAAATCAAAGTTGTTGCAATGAGAGGGAAAATCAATATTCTCTTCAGTATTAACAAAAAGCCTGGAGACACTTAAAACTATTGGCAGAAATGTGTGCATTTTTCAGATGAATTGGATGAATAATATCTCTACAAATAAATTACAAAAATGCTCTACGAGCATAACAGGGGTTGGCACAGGAAGGAAACACCAACAAAAGAGAACGCATTCATCACCTAAAAATCAACTACTGTGACAAATTTGTTCTGGCGGTGACACTGCTAACCAGGCAGGGATGAGTACTGCCGATTAGCAGTCTGAACTGGTGCGCCCCATGTGTAACACCAAAGGGAAGTTGGAGAGAGAAGGGCGGAATAAAAGAATCTGTAGAAATTCTTTGTAGGTTCAGCTGTAACTACGTCAAGGCTTCATAAGCCTTGCTAGGCCTGCTTCGCTATCACCCCTCACCCTCACTCGTCCACTCACCGGCAGCCATACACAGGGAGGAGTTTGGTGCCCTCTGGCGACGTCCAGACGATGACACGGTTCACTGTATCTGCACACCAACCGGCACCGGCAGCTGCACCAAACCGGCCGCACTGACTCGATCCGGCCGAGTCTCCCTTTCAAGTCCTCCGCTCCTGCTTAAACCCTAACAAGGCGAGCGCTCCAGCCTGAACCCGCAGGCTCCCCGCGCGCCCCCTGCGATGCCCTGCGCGAGTGGCCCGGCCGCCCTGGCCTCGTCTGCCTTGCCTGTCGGTCGGAGGGGAACCGTCAGTGGTTGCAGACACAAACCGCACCGGCCATCGCACTGGCCACTCGCAGCAGGGGCAAAGTCCACAGCCTAGTTGCAGGCCACTTGCGTGAGGCCATTAAGACGTATGCGTCGACACCCGGACGCCTCAGGCGGCCGTCTCCCGACTGGAGGCGATCAGCAGCGGCGTGGTCACGGTGGCCTTCTCCATGTGGCTGTTGTTGTTGGCAGTGACGGAGGTGAGCTCGAGCGCGGCCGGTAGCGCGTTGTGGTTGTTGCCGCAGTACAGCAGCGGGGTGGTCGCTCCCGCGTTCCCCACCCGGCCGCCGCCCCCGCTCGCGTTGTTCGCAGTGCTGCTGCAGTTGACGGGCGCCGAGCTGGTGCCGTTGGGCGCGCCGCCCCCTGCCGAGCCCGTCGGCGAGGTGACGGAGGGCTTGGCCTCGGTGGGGGCCGCGGGGGCGGCGGGGGTTGT